CCAGCGATCTTGACCAGATCGTCGGTCCACCTTGCTGGAGGCCTTCCCACGCTGCGTCTTCCGGTCCGTGGTCGCCACTCGAGGACTTTACTGCCGCAACGGCCATCTGTCCTATGAGCTATGTGCCCTACCCATTGCCTACTTCAGAGTTGCAATTCTTCATACAAAATAATATTTTTATTCCTAGATACATATGTGTGTAATGTATTTATTATCAAAGTATTAATAGGTAAGTATATATCTATTATGCTATAAATATTAACATATTTTTATATCCCTTGCAGACATATAGTGATATAGTGATAATGATATATACCAATCACCTAATACTCAAGCGAAATATTTGGGAAATACCTTTTTCCTCATTGAAAAAAATACTGTTTAAATAAGCCCTCGTTACAGCAAAAAAAGCTTTGAATCTAATTTCAAATGAAATAAAAACTTAATTTAATTGAGTTTGTCCGTAGATGAGATCATTACAGACCTATTTACTCGTATATTTATCCCTACTTTTTGGACGCAGGTACCTTTCTTTATACAGGAGGTAGGTTTTCTAATTAAGTTATGTTATTTTATTTTTCGAGTAAATAAGTAATAAAAACACAATTAAGTAATTCATTTTCAAATAAATAAAAATAATTCCAATTAATTATAAAGGTCTGTACACTAATTGTTAACGGTATATATGTAGGTTTTCTCACACAGTAAGGAGTATTCATGTGTTCAGTTATATGTACGTACCCATTGGAGACGACTTATACTTTACACTCCGTCTAATATTTAGAACATAGTTCTTAATCGTCAGAAGGTGATTGTACTATATCATCCTATGCATACCTACCTATAGAACTAAGAGTACTAGTAATAAACGTCTTCTAAGAATTGGTACCGGCAAAAGTTTCATTATGTTACGTTCATTGTGATTCCGGGCCCTAAGGACTACGGAACCCTTTCGTTTCGGAACGGTAGGTAAACCTTTTATATTCAACAAGAAAGTTCTCCGACTGCGAAAAAATACGAATGTACGAGAGAAAAATGGCGAGCAAATGGATTTTGCTTTTTTGTCAATGTGACGACTGAATCAGTTAATACCTTATTGTGTTCCTTTTATGTAATGCCACAGTCGACTTACTACCGAATATTCATTAACATTCATATAAGATTTATAATACGTAGTCATCATTTTTTAGATTAGAGTTATAGATAGGTACAGCAGCTTTTTAAATGTGCGCAGTCAGGAGATACCTACATTATTTAGTTACATTACAGATATACCTATAGTGTAAGTTAAGAATAGTCATAAGCTGAATAATTTATAAGAAAATGATAAGAGTTGTAAATAAAACAAAAATAACACCATACTGATCGTATCTATCAGTCCCTACCTATACTTATTACCATAGCTGGGGTATTAACTCGTTAATCCGTTAATCATTAATTAACGAAGTTAACATTTTGAGTAACGGATTAACTTTTAAAAATGTTAACGGACACGTTAACTTCCGTTAATATGCAGAAGTCCGTTAATCGTTATTACAATGCCTACTATTTACTGTACGAAACCGCGGCGCGTTGTGAAAATCGGGTACAAAAACAAAAAGCTCCAACTCTTTAAAGAGTAAAACGTAAAATCAAAATGTGGCTGGACATAAAATCAAAAGACTCAACAAACAGAGGAACAGATACTCATAAAACTATTCATTAAATACAATACTGATTTACCCTCAAGCGCTGCAGTTAAACGTCTGTTTTCTACAGGTAAAGACATTTTAACACCATAACGAGCCTTGCTTTAAGACGAGAACTTCAACATGTTAATGTTCATAAAGGAGAATATGCACCTTATGCCCGACGATTAAATTACTCATTTAAGTTATACACGTATTTTGTTTTGTTCCTAACCTTTTAACTTCCAGGACCTAAACCAGCAGGTTTTATAAATTCACTAACGCAGCGATATAAAAATGCAATTTTACACATATTAACGGATTAACGATTAACGTTAACTTGCGTTAATTCTTCAGAAATGTAACGCTTTAATGTTTAACGAAGCTAACTTATTTTGTAGCGAATTAACGATTAACGAAGTTAACTATTTGATTAACGGTGCCCAGCGTGACTTATTTATAACTTTTATACAATATGTAGATGGACATGAATTTGGCATTCTAAAAATAATCATAAAATTAATCATATAAATAAGTCACGACTATAAGTGTAGGTAGGTAGGTATATGTCAACATTTTAATATAAAATGTGTAAAGTTAAAAAGTGTTTTTGGACATCTCCAATAATCAGTACACGCAAACCCAATGGATGTCAAGCCCATTATCCCTGGCCCACAGCCAGATATCCGACAATTCAGGATGCATTCTGGCACGATGCTAGTTATCAGGATTATCTCGTTTCACTGTCCATAACGTAATACAGGATAAACTCACTGCGCCTGAGCTAAAAATGCAGTACCTATAATAAATTGCTACAAATTAACTACATATTTAAATTAGTTCAATATTATGTAGGCATTTATGCATATCAATTGAAATACCAATTGTAGCTTAGATCCTCTATATCCGTTCTTAGATATGTAGCCACTAGTATTGATTTGTGCATTGAAGCATATCTACATATTTATATAATTGAGGTCAATGTTTTTAAATATACCTAGGTACATAAACTGGTATCAATTGTTAATAGATGAATACCTACATTGGAATAACAAATTCACTATACTTTCTGTACCTCCAACTATACATATATATAATATTTAATAATAATCACTAATTTGTATTTTATTGATTGAATTCGATTACTGCAAAACAGGCCAATTTAAAATGTATACATATCTATTTGTGACATGCCCCGGCTTTACACGGATGCAATTATAAAAAATGTAAATAAAATAAAGTGTCAGCAAGTCTGTCTGAAGTTTCAACAAATGCTGATAAAATAAAATAAAACGGTTACTTTAGTATTTTTGAGTTTATCCATTACATAAAAAATCTAATTTTTCGTCTTGATAAACTTTCCCGTTCTTTGGCGAATGCATAAAGGTAAGCTATATGAAAAAAAATGTTTATATATTTAGTTACGTAGGTACTTTAAATAATATGTTTTAACGACAGTCGTAAATTCTCGTGACTATATTGTATACCCAATGCAATAAATTCCATGTTGCGTCTATTTTAAATCTTAAATTCTTTGTCCAAAATGTATTCAATTGGTAAAAGAGTTTACTAAATTTTGTTAATGTTACTGAAAGGCCTACTTTGCCCAGCTAAATGAAAAAAAGTACCTTTACGACTGTAACTCCGAGTTGTTATCGTAAATTAATTATTGGATAATGCCTCCTGAATCATAGAAAGCAAAGATAAATATTATTGAAGTTATAATACAGTGGTGCCCTCTATAAAGATAAATATTTAGATTAGAGTGGTTGCAAACGGTATGTACTATATACAAACTACACAAGTATTCCATTTATAATTTCGTTATACTTTGTATCTATAAGCACCTTATTCTGGAATTCTTGGACTTTCAAAGTGACAATGGTCGCTAAGGTACTGTAGTTACAATAGTAACTATAGTTACTAATAGTTGTTACAATTATCTAGTTACTGTACGTACCTATATATTGTTGTTTCATAGCTACTATAAAGATAGTTACAGTTTTTACATTAAAAAAGAAGACACTCTGGTGCTTTCCAAAAAAAAGGAACAAACGATTGGACTCTAAGCACACATTATTCGAACGATCCAAGTTGAATAAAAACAAACTTTACAATACTTTTACAGTTTAACAATAAGTTAAGGATATATTTTGTATATACCATAGTACCAATAGTACTATTGCCATTATTTATGCTGAGTAATAAACTAACTAGGTAAGTAAAAGTAACTATTATAGTAACAATGCACCATGTATGAAAAGTATTTATTCTTAATTCAAAATATTGATTGTTTATTCCATTTACTATTAAAAATGTATGTACAATGTCTATGGTTGCTCAAATATGAAGAAGTATAAACGTAGACTAGGCTGTACGGTCTAAGGATCTTTGACTGTTCCATCACTGAGAAGGAGATGGACGAATATGGGAAAAAAAATGTCTATGGTTGGTCTTTTAAACCAATTTACGACTTCCTCATAGCAACTATCGGAGAATTATAAACATTTCAATTATGGACACATACATGGACTTAACACAAACTTATAATTAATAAAGGATTTGGCGATATCGCCTTGAAGAATTTTTGAATTTCATGGAAATACTACTGAAGATTGGGCTGTATGGTCTCGTACCTTTGCCTATCCACTTGAGGATAAAATATACCACTTCTACTACGGTTTATGGTTGCTACTCCATTTACAAAAATATTAATTCCTCACCCTGGTTCACTAAATCTAGAGTTTATAAAAATCAGAAATTTTATACACTCCTTATACGACTTCGTTTTGGTCACGCTAGATTCAATAGTCATTTGTGCCGAATGAAAATAATTGATTCAAATGCATGTCAAGAGTGCAATAACAGCAGTCAGACCCTAAATCACATATTTTTCGAATGTTCCGCTTATAATATTCAACGCTTGGTCTTTATTGATAATTTACTGAACATTTACAAGAAACCGGAAAAAATCCCGCGCGACATCCAAGATGTACTAACTAATTTTGAAACATATATACCCATATATTTATACGTTACCTCGATATCGATAAAACTTTAAATAATTGATACAAGGATATGGACTACGGATAAGACTTAAATTTTGAACACGAATGAAAACATAATTAATAAACATACATAAGAATTGGCCTTTGGCCTCATCACTTGTTCAAATATGATGAAGTAAAGTAGTTAAAAGTAGACTAGGCTGTACGGTCTAAGGATCTTTGCCTGTTCCATCACTGAACAGGAGATGGACGAATATGGGGAAAAAAAAAAAAAAGGTTTATGGTTGCTTGAAGTTGATTTCCGCGGGCTTTTTGACGATGTCAAAAATGTCAAACTTAAAGTTTAGCTTGTAGTTAATTTCTTTAAATCACTTTAAATAAAGTGAAAAAACATTATTATTCTTCCGTCGAATAGTGGTGATAAAGATTTTAAATGACATATAAGTGTTTCAAACTTTGTTAGCAACAAAATTGTTAAAATGTCTTCTCTACTATCTGCTGAATTATCTGCAACTTGTAATGCATTGGGTACTTTTGATAAACGATCAGGAAAATATCTTATTGACGATTTTACTCTTAATACGGTTAAAGATTTGATAAGATATTTACGTCGTGATGGAGAGGATCATGAAATACGTAGACATTTCGGTCAGACAAAAGTTTTACAGACTGATCTTTTGCCAATGTTGATTGATCACTGGGAACATACAGACCTTTTTGATGTTACGTTGAGGTATGTTTACATACATTTATTTAAAGCTTACTTTACCTGAGATATATAAAAATAAAAAAATTATTTACAATTTTTACTTTCATCATTTACAGACTACTGGTTAACCTCACAAATCCAGCTCTGTTGTTATATCGTGAAGAAGTTCCCGTAGAGCGTACAGCTCGGCATAACTATTTACAAATATTGTCCCACTTACAATCATATAAAGAGGAAGCTTTTTCAAAAGTAGACACTTGGAATGTTTTTGCTAAAAAATTAGCTAAAATATTGGAAATTGTAAGTCAAATTGAATAATCTGTATATAATAAATAGCCTTTATCGAAATTAGTAATTTAACATGAGAACAGACAAATGTAATACGTTAGTATTATTTCACTATTTGGATTGACTAGGGTTACCTAGTCAATCCAAATAGTGCTATCTAGTTCTAAGCTTATTTTATAATACTTTTTTTGTACTTACCTGGACCAATATAAACAATCTTATTCATGAATACAAATGTTTGCATTGTGCCAGGAATCATAATATAAATAAATACTTTTGAGTTTAGAGATTGTGTATAAGTCATCAGCATTTTTAAAATTAGGATTGGAGTGAACGAGATGAGGATACAGGTTTAGTAATTGAGAGGATTTTAATATTGATTAGAAATGTGCTCCATGTACCTGCAGATCTTGATAAGGAAAAAAGACCTGAGAATGATGCAAGTGTGCATGATCAGGTGAGGTGTTTTAATAAATTTTAATATTATATAATTTACAGTCATTTGTATTATTGTAATTGTTCTATTTAGTAATTATATATTTAAACCCAGATATACATTTTAGGTTCTCTGGGCCCTGAATCAGTCTGGTATTTTAGACATAATACTTTACATGTCATCAGAAAATGAAAAACAATATTTTATGCATATCATCGAAATTATATCTCATTTATTGAGAGAACAAAATCCAACCAGTTTAGCTGATGCTGCATTGCAAAGGAGTGTTGATGAGAAACTGAGAGATGAACAAGAGCTTCTTTCTATAAGAATATCTGAAAATAAAAATAGGTTAAACAAGATTAAACAGTATTCGGCAACAAGGTGAAAAATATTACTTAAAATATAATACTAGATATTTATACTTAATTCCTTACTGGTGACATTCATATTTGTAAATGACCTAGTTTAGGTTAGTATTAAATTCCAGAATGCAATGTGTATTATTCGAAGTTTTTAAGTGAATTAATGGCAGGTATAAAACTGCTAGTCAAAATCATGGCGCAAATCAATAGTGAGTATAAAAGTTAAATTGTTTCCAGCTAGTCTCACAGGCATATGTGTCACCAATGGTAGTTTAATCTTAATTAATTAATAATATATAATAGTCTTTATTATTAAAACTAATCTCATTTTAGATTATTCAGTTTTAATCAGACATCAGTTGTTTCTAAATAAATAATGTGAAGCTATATAATAATTATATTATCTATGAACATTACATTCATAATGTTAAGCTACAGAGTCTTTGATACATCTGAATATAATAAATACTTATCCCTAGACATTCCCGTTTCGGAGGAACTTATATAGTCCAAAATATGAAATCCATATCAGACCATGAGCTGATATGCCTGAAACCTCTAAATAAAATCTCTAACATAAACTTCAATGGTAGCAAAAAATCTAAACTAGTGAAACCAAAGAATCGGAGGCCAGTTGAAAGTGGCATTTTGGAAAGACGATCAGCATTTGCTATAAGGTATGTATTTTTCACTAATATTTTACACTGTATTTGATATTGTAACTGAGGTATACCTAGAAGTAAAAATATTTGTGTTTAAATATATGCTTCTATATGAATACATATGCAAATAATGAATACATAATGCATTAGCATTTTATTTTGATGCAAATATTTTATCAGCCAGGTTGCTAAACCACAATGCCACACTACTATTATATAAAAAGATTTATTATAGTTTTCTAAAATTATTTATACATTAAATTTATTTTCAGACTATTTTTAAAAGAATTCTGTATAGAATTTCTAAACAGTTCATATAATCCTTTGATGCATTATGTAAAAGATGTACTTGTAAGAGCGAAAGCACAACAAAATGATGAATCATATTACTTGTGGGCTGTGAAATTTTTTATGGAGTTTAATAGAGGTCACAATTTTCAAGTTGGACTAGTCAGGTTTGTCTGAGTAAAACTCGTTATTTATTAATATAAGTATAGACCTTTACTTTCTAGATTTTTCACTAGGTTTTTAGTACATTTTCCCTAAGCTGCAAAAACATATATTTACAGTAAAGCAAATTATGTAAGACTTCACTAAACAATCTAATCAACTTTAAGATATGTCATCATTTCATTTCATTATTAGAAAGTAAAATTTCGGTTGCATGAGCCCAAGATGAAATTTGTAAAGAATAATAAAATTAATAACAATTATTATTTATGAATTTTGCCTAGTACTTGTAGTAAAAATATGTGATATCTCATTTCGTTAGGTTTGTTTGAGAATTGTTTTATTTTATATTTACAGCGAGACAATGTCAGTTCCTATGTTTCACTATGTACAGCAACAAATGGAAAAATATTATGACATGATCAAAGTAGAAAAGAAGAAATTTTCAACATGGGTCAGGCGATTACATTTGGCCCTTAGAGCTTATAAAGAATTATTAAATACTCTTCTGGCAATGGAGAAAAGCAACGATTTAACTGTTAAAGAGTCTGCAAAAGTATTGAAAAGTAATATTTTCTATGTACTGGAATACAGAGAATTCATTCTTACGATATTTCTAAGTTATGATGAAAACAAAATGCCAAGGTACATATTTTTAAATAAATATTACATTTTATAATGCAATATAATTCGTTTTGATGATAAAATTTTCATTTTAGATCCTATTTGATTGATTTGGTTGAAACAATTCATTTATTCTTAAAAATGTTGGAACATTATTGTAAGAAAACGGGATTGGTTGTCCAGAAGAAAGCTCGGAAGAAATCAAAGTCGAAGAGTGCGTAATATTTTTTTAGCATTTTATATATATCTATATCATATAGGTATATAATAATACCTATACGTATTTGTAAATTAAATAGAATTGTGTATTATAACATAGTAAACGAATAGTCGCTTATGTGATTAATATAATTTTTAAGTTTCAATCTGATTAATTTCAATTAAAAGTCGTAACTGGTATGCAACAGAAAAGATATCCAATAAATCGCAGCCACAGAAAACGAAGCCTCCAGAAATTTCACCGTGGGAGGAAGTTCGCGCGCAGCTGGCGGCCGTATTGCTCTCAGGAACTGGAGACTTGGCGGTACCCTTTGACGCAGCGTCCGATGTACCTATAGATCAACAGAAGTAAGCATTTTTATCACAGTTTGTAATACAAAGATATTTTGTAATAACTTTCGTTTTCCTTTATTTTTTAATTTATTGTAACTGCTAAATCATATTTCTAACATGCTAGGTTCTATTGAATTTATAAGGTGACATTGATGAATTCATTCAACTGAAATAATTTATTTGCAGAATACAGAATGAGTGAACGTATGTGGTCTTATTTCACATATTATTTACAGCATATTGTGTACAATGAAAGTTATGTCATGCAGGGATATAAGGTTTAGTCTCGCATCATCAATCTTGTTATATTAACCAATACTTTAAAAAATTGTGCTTATTTGTGGAAAGTGTATATATATTTCACAAGAAGGAAACCGCGGATACAGCTAGTCTAAATATCGTTTAATTAACATAGAAATTAATCAACCAACTTCAGTTCACGTTATAACTACTCAGTATGAAGGCGATCAAACGTTTTTCTATCATAAATGTTTTTTTTTTTGTACAGGGAAGACTGCATGAAAAATATACAGAGACTGATGCGCAATCATAAATTCGAAGATGCAATCGGAATGTTTAGAGCTGCAAGGTTATACATTTAGATTGTTTATATTTTAGACACATGTTTTATTATCTATATTAATTTTGAGATGTTTTAAAATAATGTGAAGTACTTTAACTATGAAATGAGAAATTACTAATTACGTTAATTCGTCTTTACGATAGTGTATAATATTAATATCACAAATCAAATATTCAATAAAATTAATTCGCTATTATTATTACTCTTTTTTATTGTATAAATAAATATAATTGAATTTTAAATAATAACCCAACACTGAATGGTGTTGGGTGCAGCGCGATACAGCGCGATCTAATCCCAAGCTAAGAAGAGTTTGTGTTATGGGTATTAGACAACTGATAAATACTTATATATATTCAAATTTGAAAATGCATACATAATTTACTTAGAAAACACCGAAACCAATATAAACAATCATATTCATGAATATGAATGTTGTATCGTGCGAGAAATAGAAGAAGAAAAACCCACCACCAAAGAAAAGCGGTCTGCTAGATCACCTAAAATGTTTTTCTTAATTGACCGATTAATTGATTAAAATAAATAATTAGAATAATTATTTTTTGTATAGAGAAGTGTGGCCCGAAGAAGGAATATTTGGAGTAAACGGAATACCAGAAGATGAAGAGCTTGAAATGTTGGAAACTGTTTACAGCACCGATTTAGGAGTAGAAAATACTGGTAAAATTTCTTAAATAAATAATTAGTTAAAAAATAACAATCGTAATGATTTTTGATATTACTAAAACAATTTATTTTTTTTCAGATACGGTCGGTGAAAATGAGACACAAGAAAATTCAGACTATGACGATGAAGGTATTTTACCACACTTTTTTACTTTCGTCAATGTTATGGTCTTTATTAATTAAATCTATTATTATTTTAGATGAGGAGGAAGAAGAAAAAACGACAACAATTGTGGAAACAGATTTCGATTTTCAAGATTTTGTATTAAGGTATTTACATATTTCTCTATAACTATTAAATATGTAGGTATTATGACAGTCAATAGACAGCCGGCAGCAAAAAATTGTAATTATAGTTCTGGCTGACTCTCCGATAAAGGAAACATCGACATCAAACCAAAAATTAGTTCGAGAGACGGTAGTTTTGCCCCTTACCATGTTTAATTTAAATTACTTACACATCGACAGTTAATAAGTCATCTAACTGGAGTGGTACCCATCAATATATATAATATCAATATATTTATTTATTAATATTAACTCCTTAACAAAAATTTTATGTAAAAAGTGTCGAAACCTGGCTACAGATGCTAAGTTATGACGAAACAGAAAACTTTATTCTGTAAATACAAATTATACTTTAAATACTATAAAATGGTTTGATTACGTGGTTATCGGCATATAATAAGTTATTTATTTATTTATTTATTATTTATCTGGCTTTATGTCTTATTATTATTTCCTCTTTTTTTTTATCGAATATGTAATATTATGTTAAGTAGTATGTATGATTTTGTGCTGTGTAAAAGTAAATGTTAATAAATGAAATAATATACACCCTGGGAAGGTATGTGACATCTGAGATACAGTATAATTTTATACTAGTTCAGATGGCACAATTACACTTGTATGTTAAAATTATTGACTCTTATGTACAACTTAATTATGTAACACAAACTATAACTGCAATAAATTATTATTATTAATAATAATCGTGAAGGTATGAAGAACTATTTAGAAAAAAAATATGAAAAAAACTGTTTCTTTAATTAGATATTAAATTAAACAGTAGGATGTAACACCGAGAGCTAGACTTTATACACAATTGTCTGCATGGGACTTGCATTGTAAACTATTTTGGTAAGGTGACATACATATTAGTACTCTGGATTGCCAACGGATGAGAGATGCCCCGGGCTTCACTCAATGACGCTTTCGAGTTTTGTTAATATTTATGTATGTTGACAACGGTTACCACTTACCGTCACCAGAGTTGTGAGCTTGTTTGCTGCCATTAAAGTTACATAATAAAATCGAACCTGTCACTGCACACAATGACAATATTTTAATTAATAACTTATCAATTATCAAATAACTTATCAGCCTTTACGAACAGCGAAACATGAATAACATCTACTTTACTTAGTTTATTTTAGCATTGTATAATACAATAAGACAAATTAATCTGCTTCATTATAAAGTTTACGTAGCGTCTAGATTAAAGACTTCGTATCGCCCTCCATTGGTGTAATTAGCAACAGTAAATAGGTTTGAAGGCTCTGACACATTTTGTCATTTGTGTCTCTATATAATGTAATAATAATGAACGCAATTCCTTATACACATAGGTAGTAGGTATATGGAGTTTTGGCAGATTTTCTTCTGTTAAACCTATGTACCTTTGTTCCTTGTATGAAAATAGTGTTGACATGTTAAAGCTTATTATATATTTTTAGAATTGATAATAATATCAATATTTATTATCCAAATAGTTTTTGTAATTTGATACACAAATATTTTATACATTGCTACTTCATTTGTCGTGTTATTGTTGCAAAACACAAGTCTATTATAACCATAAATAATCTATTTATAATGCATTTAAAATCAATAAAATTAATAATAAATGATAGACCGTGTTGACAGAAAGAAAAGAAGTTTTTATTGATTTTAAATGCATTATAAATAGATCACAGTGAGAAACACTAACAATAACGACTTCATTTTTTAACAATTTGAAATAGCTGTAGAATCTGATTAATTAGTTTCTTCTAAAAATTGTGTCACACCTTACATACCGATATCACATGAAATTTATTTTAGTTTTATAGAGAGACCATAATAAGCATTGAAATACACCAATGATAATTTGTATTGTAATGTCTCGACGTTTCATAGGTTTTGTCACCCTCGAGTAGTCAGCGCGTGTGTGTTTTTATTGGAGCACTATGATAAGAACTTACCTTATACAAACCACTGTATCATTAAAATGCTACACCGTATCGCGTGGGATTGCCACAGGCCCTCCATGATGTTTCAAGGCACACTATTTTTAACGTTTCAAAAGATACTCGACGACCCTTCGTCTCAATTCAAGGTAATGTCATTTTCTTTAATAGTATCTTTATTAATATTAATTTTATATTAATAGCATCAAACGTGATTTTATAACACTTTCCCTTTCCCATTTCTCTCATCTCTTATAAAAAAGTACGTAAATAGCGAAATTGCCCAACCGTCCAAAGAATTATATTTTTCCTTTTCGTATCTTATATGTAACATAAATAAAATCTAATATTTTTATATCACGACCGGTTTCCCACAATCACGCTGTTCAATCTACAGGAAATAGAGAAGTTCGCGATATTCATTTTAAGGAAATTCACGGAAGTGGCTGCCAAAAATAATAAAGTATTTATAGAAATATTGTTTTGGAAAAATGGCAAGGACGCAGCCGAAATACAGCACGGCTATAATCTCTACATCGATCAGAAGTAAGTAATATATTTGTAACAACAATCGAATAAAAACAGCATCTATTTCAAACTGTAACAGCGTGTTAAAACTGTTGTTTATTAATAACTTTATTACTTTACGGATACTGTTAAGTAAAGTAATAATAAAAATATAGAATCTTCTATATAATTACTAATTAAGTAACATTTTTAATGCTGGTTTTTATTTTCGCGAAAGTTATGAACAGAAGCACTTTTTTACCTTTTTAGTGATAGTCTGAATTCTTCTTTTTTATATTCACTTGCAAGGTTTTCCTCAATTTTTTTTTCGGATATTAAAACCAGTGAACTACTAAGATATTTTGTGGTAGGTACTTTTATATATTGTATGAATTCTTACATTTTAATTTATTACCAAGGGTTTTATATTATTAAATAATACAGTCGTTCTTATAATATGACCAGACGTAGCCTTAAAATGTAAACAGATGTGTATCAGATAATATAATAATAATCTTATTGATCTGACTATGCTTGTAAATCTTATCTTGCGTATTTTCGATGTTTAAATGTTAGAATAATATTTCGATCACCTACAATTAGTAAAATATATAAATATTTAACAATAGCTTTATTATGTTTTACTGTGAAAACAATACTGACACTTGATTAATATACTTAGTATCTACATTTTTATTGTGTAGGACTTTATATTTTTACTACATACGCTTACATTCAGAACTAATAGCTACACTAAAGATATAAGTAATACTTAAACCGTCAAACGACTTGATAACTGTTATTGAATGAAAATAAAAAGCTATGTAGCAATATCGATGTTCCTGATGTCAATACCTATTAGACGCGCACACACACACATACGCCAGTCGCTTGTGATATCTTCAGATTGGAGCAAAAACCTTTCGTACTTACAATAGCTGCTTTTACACGTCCGCTCTTTCATGGACGAATCTGCTTTCAGGCAGGAAAAATGTGCATGTAAAGAATGAAATGAAAGAAATATAAGGTACTACCTTACATTTCATTCTTTCCTCTTTTCTTTGTCGTTCTTCTTTCATTTATAAAAAAAAGACCGCGCGCGCCAGCAGTCTTACGTGCTGTAGCGGCTTCTTCAAATAATTAATTAATCAGTGCAATATGGCGGACGTCTGAGTATGGAGCAAAAATATAATTATAGGTTTATTAATAATTTATAAATTTTAAAAGTGTTTCTGGATAATAAAAAAAAATAAAAGAAAGTGAAATGACATGAAAACACAATCACGCGTGAAAGAGTGAACAGAAAAAATATTTAAATGCAATCCCTCACTATTGCGCGCGCTAGCTTTATTCGCTCGCACTGCTAATTGCCCGTGAAAGAAACGTATCGTGTAAAGGCAGCTAATGGGAAAATAATATTTTTCTCAGGCATTTAAGGACCAATCCGAATAGATACGATACGATTTTTAAATATAAACAAAATGACAATTGATTTCAAAACCGAGATTGTGATTAAAGATTTATATTTGAACTTTGTTTAACTCCTACTTCTTTCTACGTCTGTAACTGACGTAAACAGTAATGTTTCTACATATATCTAAAATAAAGATTCAAATATTTTGTTTATCATCTATCAGCTGAATAGATAGACATATGAATAGACACTCACTTTTTGGCACCTATAGTCATAAATACACGTAATAACAAAGTTTGTTATAACGAACACTCGCACGTCACTTCACATTAGTTCTATCTTGTTTGAAGTCTGGGTATTCGTTGGGGAACTATGATTAATTGCAGGGGTAATATAAACTTATTGATGTGACAGGGACAAGCCCGGAAGGGGGGCGTGGAGTGAGGAACAAGAAGAGGAACTCCGGAGATTATATATGGAAAACCAAATGAATCCGGAGACTAATCAAGGTCGGTAAAAGCCATTTCATATGTATATTTTTATATACAACGGGAAAAATATGGAATATATTTTATAGAGAACTTTAAATTATAATAACGTAAAATTTTATATGTTCAACCAGAATTCCTCACTTTTATATTCTCTAATTATTATAAAAATTTTGATTTTGTAAACAATTATAATTAAATATTTTTACTTTATTTATGTTAATGGATAACGTAGATGTAATCGACTGGATTTTGGAAAACTTGATCGACCAGACACGTACACGGCGCGGTGTTATATCAAAGTTAAAGGAACTTGGGCTTATTTTCAAAGCTCCTACCAAACGCAGTAATAAAGAGATAGCTAAAGAAAGAGTTACTAAAGAATTTAGTGAAGAAGAAAATCAGCAACTCAGGGAACTTTGGGAGGAATGTAAAGAAACCGATGGTAAGATGATACCGATGGTACTTTAAATACTGTATCCGTAATTTCTTATCTGTATATGTTTTCTTATTTTACATTCACAGTGTACGAGAATAATAAATACAACATCAATAAAAACATAGTAGTTTCACCCAATATCTGAAAAATCGTTTTTCCAGAACAATAATTTAGTCAATTTGTTACGTCAAATTGCACGTAATATAATTCTACACTGAAATATGTATTATCACTGTACTTTGTACATAGATCAGTAAATGTAATGGAGCATAACATAATTTTCAGACCCAATGAGTGTAATAATTTCTCGAATGCCGCGAAAACGGCAGAAACGAAGCTATGTGGACAGATTATTGCAGTTAGGTATTATCCAGGATAAAAAAGAGTGCCGTAAAAAAAGACACAAAAAATCCAATAGTAAAAGTACAGGCGTAGAACATGATAACTCAAATGGTAAGTTGCTATATATGAGCATATCTTTATTCTTGAATTTATTATATTGAGAATAAAAATTGCCGAAAATTTTAATAGTTAATACAATAACAGAATATGTCCCATTTCATAATATTTATAATTTCTTATATTTTCATATACAGATAATTCCTCCGGATCAGACTCAGATCAATCTGATAATGAAGATGAAACAACATTATCTCCTAAAGCAACTAAAGGACCAAAAATAACATCAAAGAAATATAATACTTCTGCAAGAAATAAGAAAAAAATAAGTATTATTCAACTTAGTGCTAACGAAATTGCGAAATTATTGGTAGAGGCTGTGGATAGTGGTAAGGAATATATATTAAATTATACATACAAATGTGTCTTTGCAAATAGGTTACGAATGTTGAAAATTTATATTGGTAGCATTAGTTATGACTTAAGTTTGCATTTTCAGGATTATCCGACGGTTTGAAATGGTTAGCTGAAAATCTAGAAGAGGTGGCGCTAGATCAAGAAGCTGAGGGTTATGATCCCTTAGCAGAAGGTGTGCCACTCGTACCCATATCTAGTGAGTCAGTTCAATCCATGGAACACAAATTATTTCAACGTATATTAAAAGGCATCGGCATTGTTCCACCTTGTGATGAACAGGTATTTATATATTATTTAATTCAGTATATTTGAAACTGAAGAATTTTCAAAATTCTATCAATCTATTCGATGTCCTGTCTTTTAGAGTTAGGTACCACCAAAACCTTATGATATTTCCACATATATATGGCATCTGACAAAAAATATTCGTCGTTATATAACGACGAATATTTTATATATAAGCTTATTTTTCGTGACTCCTTTTAGTTTTACAGTTATAATGGAAAAACTACCATCCTGATTTGAATTAAAATTACCCGAGAGAGATTGAAAACTTTATAAACTTGGGCTTATAGAGTTTTCGAACTCTCTCTGGTAATTTTAACTGGCACTACGTACGAACAAACATGGGCGTCGCCATAATTTCGCGTGATTCTATTTTGGGTAATAGAATCTTATATTGAGATCTAAGAAAAATGTTTAATTTTAATTATGTACTATAAATATATAATTAGTCTGGTTAAACTCTACGTAAACGTTAAACGTACATGTTTGGATTTTTTAGAATTCTTTAGTATATAAATATAATTTAGTCAATTATAAAGATTTCAAGAACTGCACAACCTCATTCCTCCAGCACCGTTCCATCAACGTACAACAAGACGTAGAGAGCGGCTCCACCCCTACACTATTGACATCCCAGCTGCTCGAACTAACCGTTTTCCTCTCCTTATGCGAGCAGCTAAGGAGTGGAACTCTCTACCAGCGTCTATTTTTCCTGCCTATATAAATAATAGGTATTATTTGAGTCAATCATCACTTAACATCAGGTGAGATTGCGGTCAAACGCGCTCAAATTATGATATAAAAAAAAAAAAGATTTAAATTTAATTAGGACTCGTAGTATATTTTGTAATATATGAACGTTTTTTTTATTAATTAACCTTTAAGTGACAAGTTAAATGTTTAGGAAACATTTTGGAGGATACCAAGCAACTTACACTTCGACACAATAAGGAAACGACGAGAAATTATAATAAAAGCTGTTCATAAGGAGATTATTTTGACCGATACACCGACTAATAATGGCGCTACTACAGTCATAGAACAACCAGGAAATGAATCGAGTGATGACGAAGATTTATTTAACAATTTAAGAAAATTACGCGAAAATATCGAAATTCCTATAGATAAAAGTGCAGAACGAAAAAATATTCATAATGCAAGTCGTAAAAGGAGTCGCAGCATCGGCCATGAAGAAAAAAATAAAAAGGCAAAAATGCAGAAAATAGATGAACATGAGGAATCGACCCTCGTTAGAAATGATGATGATGATGATGATATTTTGACATTTGCAAAGAAAACATTAGAACAAGAGGAGTTTCCTGACACGGAAAACATTCTCAATGATTTGCTTCCAGCGACCAAAACTAGTGGTAAGATATATGTATATATATTTTAAATATGTACAACGAACCAGCTAACATAAGTTTTTATTAAGACTATTCTATTTCCTACTTGTTATGTTAAGAGCTAGGGAGAAAAACTAGTACAGTACAAGTAGTAGTACTATAAATTCAGTTTTTTTTTTGTGTATTTGAAATATCAAGCTAACCACATGATGGGAAGCGGTAACCGCCGCCTATATGAACAGGCACTACGGATATCACGTTATCATGTGACAATTTTAATCCCTAATCTGACCCTACAAGCCATCTTAAAAAGCAGCTTCTTGGCGACTGAAATAGGTGAGACTGACGTACAACGCGAACTACTTTTTATAATCTACCTCTGGTATTATATTTAACATGCCACACCTCTTAATGTGTATGAACGTTGATTAAGCTCATTGTAATTACAGATGACAGTGCAAAGGATGATAACGAAGACACAGTTTTGCCGATTAAACGTACCAAGAAACGTCGTGCTGTTATCGACGATGATTCTGAATAAATTGGTTTTTACTACAACATAATGAAAATTATTTGTTATTGTCAAATAATTGTAAAGAAACGTATAATTTTATGTATATAATATTTGAATATTTCAAAATAAACAAAAATATTACCCTTTTTCTTTATTGTTTTATTAATTACTGTTACTCACAATTCCGTGTGCTTTTTTTAGATAAAATATAGCCTTTCAGTACACTCGCGATACTCATACTAAATTTAATTAAGATAATTTCAATAATAATAACAAGCCTACTGATAGATAAAATAATTCGATACATATTGTCTATGACAATGTTAGAATTATTGTGGAAACTTCTCTCGCTGAACAAGTGTTTGTTAGTCAATTAATTGTGCCATTAAGTATTTGTTACATACGCCTCAAAGGTAACAGCATCAACAATACCTATTCAAGATTCTCGAGATACCAGGTAAACGTATTAAATATTTTTCAACGATCCTCATTGCCCCACTTGTACCGAATTGTTTAAAAATGTTTTTGGTTTTTCAGAGAAGGAAATATAGAAAACATTTTCACTTCATTGAAATAAAAAAAATCTATTTCCGGTGTGGTTAATTTCTATTCTGTTAAGATAGTTTAATATGATGAAATAAGTAACATGTACGTATGCAGAATAGGATTATATTTTTTTAAATTACAAAGCTGTTGTAATGCTTAGTGCGTACAACGATAATGCATGTCACTGCATCCAAAATATTAATTTTAGATATTATACATTTTATCCTATCATTAGGATAATTAAAGTCTACACAGAATTAGATAATTTTGATTTAATTTTGTCTGTGTCTTTATTTAAATAACTAATGTATACTAAAACACTAAAAACATCACACAGCTCCAACCAGTCACATACTTATAAAACCTTGTGTTCAAAATATTTCTTTCATATAAAGTTATTTTCATGAATAATAATGTTATAAGCATGTACGGACTGTACGGACCTCAAATTTTGGAAGGCGAGGTAATGTGTTCAACCGCTATTCAATTCATAATTAATTATGTAGCAGCATCTGTAAATTATATAAATTGAATTTGCCACCATATGTTGTTGCTATCTTATTACATCACGTATAGGAATTCCAATATCATTCCGCTATCGGATAGCAATATACTTGGAATAGTGCGCTCAGTTGGCGGTATTTTCTATCCATTGCCGGAGCCGCGTGTTCTCGCGCATTCAATATTGCAAATATTGTGCAATATAACCAAACGGAAAATAGAAACGAAGGTTTCAGTTGCAGTACCTAATATTGTTAACAAACAAAGACGACAAAGTATCCAAGTGCCTACATACTGCCATCAAAGTGCGCGCGCCCGACGTCTGTTTATTTATACGTAGGCCGCTGGGGAAATAAATATTGTATTCTTACATGTACTGAAATCATAAAATATAGTTCAATTGGAAATAAATAAATAATTTTATTGAGTACTAAACTACCATACGATCTCGAGGCAGGATTCTCTAAAGCTTAATTTTATTGTTCTATTATAGAATATATGTAAGTTCTTTGGTCTGGGTTATAACAATCAACAAAATTTACAAAAGTATGTAGTCTTCTACGATATTTAAATTGTGTTTTAACGTTTAAAGTAGAAATCGTCGGTATGGTAGAAATGAAACATAAAATGAACTAAATTTGTTCATTGGATATTTCAGAATCGGTTTCAAATTAGTAGACAAAAAAAAATACTAGTTGTTTGTGGAATAAATAATTAATGTCCTTGATACAATTCACTGAAACCATGATTAATAAACATTAAGATTTTTTCTTCTATAAATATTTAGCATAATAATTCACACTCACACATTCCGTACAAAGATTAATTTCATAGGGCGTTCAGTAAATCTTTTCACTCAGTATCAGATTAACGCCCCCGAACCTTCCCCTAAATGTATCGTTGTTTTTCTAACATTATCTTAACATTGTAAACAGGGCCCGGAATCGCGAATGGGTAGCCTACCTGAAATAACATTTAAATTTGTACGAGGCTACATAAAACATTGATTTACATAGATTAAATCCTCGTTACGTGCTTATGTAGACATCTATGTACTTGGTGAAGTAAAGCTTTCCTACAGTGCTAAAAATTTTAATAGCATTGCATATGTGAGCTCAATAAATATAAATAATATTTATTTTATATGTAGAAATGATCGGTGACAAAGCTGCTTAAAACAAATAACACGTAACAAATAAATACTATAAAAACAAAGAATGGACAATCTATCACTCATATCAATATTTTTGTTGATATATTTTTATTTCATTTGAAGTATGGAGATTATACACAATCCATCAATTAATAATTTTATTTAGTGATTATAGGTACATAAAGTAACGCAATCAGTTAAAAGCATACTTTTATTATCTATATATTTAATCTATAATTGACTAAACCAATAGAGAATAGAATAGAAAAGCTTCATTAAGTAAAAATTTTATATTAAGATGAGCAAAAATAACATACAATATTAGAAAATATATGCCGCCACCCACGAATTAACAATACATTGCCGGAACCCCCTCACTTCTATCAAATGTATTCTAAATCCTAAGCCAAAAAATACAAACGATCGTTTAATCCCAGGAGCAATAGAGTATTTCTTATTCAAATGTTCAGTCAGCTATTTTAATGTTTCAACACAGTACGTCATCAATCTTGGCCGAGGCCGAACGTGGCCCATTACGACCGCCCCCTTTGCAATTATCCACTCGAATAAAAACGTTTTAAGTGTTAAATTAACGATATCTCTGCGAGACGAAAGCTTGTCTGACTAAGTGATTAATTCAAACCCTTGAGAACTAATAGTGAAACGGACAATTGCGAAACTTTAAAGAACCTCACTGCATTTATCTTTGCTGGCACCATCTGACATGTGGGACGAGGGCGATAGTATTGTACTCTTTCAGTTCGACCTACACCCGTCTAACCTGGAAAATATTGTACCCAATTATAGGTTCAAAATAGTGGTGAATTGACCACTATGCACTAAGTGATATATCATTCTAATTATGCCCTGACTACCATATTTTTTTGTAAATATATGCATTACTTTCACATAGAATATACTCAAACAGTCAACAAGATTCAAAACAGTAATTCCGATTAAAAAATAAAAATGTTTTCATTATATTGAAATTGAAGCCGCATCTTTTATACCGTAAAGCCGTGACTTAAACCGCAGCTATATCCTATCAAAAAATATGTAAAACTATCCGAGGTAAGAATACCTAAACTTTGTACAAAGTCATCTGGGTCCTCTGCTACCTCTGTCTCATCCATTTCAGCGATGTCCAAATCAGCTTCTCTGTTTACTACTGTCATTGTTTACCTATGTTTTGATTGGAGAATGATATGGCAGTGAAATTATGGATATCAACTATCGTGACGTTACGAAGACTGTAATTATCGGTACTAAGGGCATAGTATGAAAACGTGACGTCCTCCTCACGTAGGTAGGTAGGTAAATAGGCAACGGCCGTTTACCAAAAGGTAACTTTGCCATTATAGTTAGATAAAAAAAGTGTTAGTATAGTTTATGTAGCTACGAGTATACACATATCTATATCCTATATGTTTACTCGCTTCTCTCATAGTAGGTCTTTAGGGAAATCACTCACTCTATATTAGCCTCATACATACTTAACTATCAAGACTGTTAGTACACTTTTCATTTCTTGTCATATGCGTCTGATGTAATTCTAAAGGCGTGTACATACAGAATTATGGGTAATTTCAATTGGTATTGGGTAATCTGTGGAAATACTTAAATACATACTCTTTTATAAAATAATACTACCGAATATAAAAAAAAATGTTAGCTATAGTTAATATTTTAGTACATAATAATTTTAGTATTTTTAAACTGCCTACACACTACCATAAACTCAGGGGCAACGTCTGTGCCGCGCCGGAGGGGAGCGTACCTCAATAAGATCGTGTCTAGCGAAATCAGGACCAACATCCCTAACACTACTGCTCTGATTTAGATTCTAATGTTATATAGGTTGTAAGCGTTCTGTTGTTATTCGTTACTAAAAGTGAGGCGTGGTTCTTGTGTGAATCACTGACACCCATGGTGTCGGAAAAAATAATAAATACAGCAGAGGTACATTAACTCATCATTTGTTGCATTTTGCTCGCTACATTTCTGTCTTCGGTATTAATTAATGTATTATTCGTACGTGCATGTGTGACGCAAGAGTTGCCTTTTATATAGAATTTCACTCAAATAAATTTCATTCAGAGCCTAATAAATATTGTAGATATCAATATCTTTCAATATTCCTTATACTCATTAACTTATTTTGATACACGTAGGTATATAATATTTACTTAACTACGTAACTTCTATCTAAGTATTATTAATTATACATTAACGCCTACGCGCAACCTTCTATATTATATTTGGCATGTTTAATTTTCTAACAAGACATCCCCTATCTCTATTATTCAACAAAGCAGAAACTTATCGGTCCTCATGACCCGCCCTATCTAAACTCGTTACGAACAATCCTAAATATTTTTTTGCAAACATTGTGAGCATATCGCATTGCAACTGCTCACTGACTGAAAAGAAAATCTTGTTGCCTGTTTCTTATTTTTGCCCTAGTCAGAGTCACTTAACTACGTAAACATAAACAACCGTCATTCTTCTTCTTTACGCGAGTCGGGCGAAGAGAAAAGAATGACAAACGAGTTAAAGAATAATGGAAAGTAAATGAAAATAGCAAAATCGCTTTTATCAACTGCTTTTTTCCCATTGTCGACGTTAAGAATATTATTTTTTTAAAGAGCTAAAGTTACACAAAGTGTGTAAAGGTTTCGAGTCGCATTTTTACAGAACAACTCAATTAATTTTCCCAATTCAAAATATCGATATATGTGTATTAAGCCTGTCTTCTTATGCCATATGGTTTATCACAAACTTTGTATTAGATTTGATATTTCACTAGTATTCTTAAAAGTCGCACTAAGCTTTAGTAAGCAGAGCGATGAATATGCTTTGAAATGTTTCTTCGTGCGTTCGCATAGCATGTAGACAGGTAATTAAATGAAGATGTTTGTGTAATTCTTAAGTAAC